TTCCTATTTTATGCAAAAACAGCAGAAATTTTACTTTATATCTGTATTCTGTGGTACAGTCAAAAGTCGTTAATTCGGACACCCATAATCCGGAATGATCTATAATCCGAACCTCAAAGCTACAAACTTTCTGTGCATGCATAAACGCAAATGCGTTTACTGTATAACGGACGGTATAAGCTAAGCTAAAATTATCTAATTATCCATTTCAGTTAATGTTGCAAGTATCGTTGTTCCTTAATCTTCTAATTGGATCCGACTTATTATTTTTTGCAGACTGTTAGAGCAATTTTATAAAAGTAAGCTTGAACTTTTGATTATGTCAAAAAGAATTTCCGATTCTGGAGCTGCCAAAGGATCTACAAAGCGAAAGCATGTTTAGATAATCATCAAACAAAAAGTGGAATTGCTGCAAAAAATGGATAAAGGCATATATCCTTTGTTTCTCTAACCATTCCGAAATTTGTTTATCAATTTCACGCTACTCAGCGCGGGGGGGGGGGACATCGCGGCACGCAATAAACTGGAAGTTGATCTGTCAGCACTATCCTTATCTTCAGGGCAGATGTTTTTATTTTATTTGGCTTATAATTCCTTACTAAATGTAGTATTTCATCTTGATGTACTCCGTCTTTGATATTATTTAAATCAAATTCCTTGTCATTATAATTCGCTTCCGATAGTGAAGAAAGTGACAGAGGTTATTGAAAACGAAAAAATTTCGATTGACAAATTAGTTGGCATTCTCGACACAGCAATTATAGGACTTAAACAGCGGAACTTTGTAACTGAACAAGAAATTATGTATGTTTATAGAATTAAAGAGAATGTATTATCACATAAGAAACGAAGCAACTTAAAAAACTTACATTGAAAGAAATGTTTAATAAAGTAAATAAATAAATATTAAGCTTCTTCTTCTTCTTCTTCCCCCCCCCCTTTTTTTTTTTTTTTTTTTTTTTTTTTTTTTTTTTGATACCCTTTAGATCATAATTGTTCTTTATTTCATAAATTACAGTTTCATATTTTTAATTTTATAATTTCTGCATGCCATCTTACCAGATTTAAACTGATGATCTATAATCCGGAATCGCCAAAGTCCCGACGAGTCCGGATTAACGACTTTTGACTGTACTCAGAAAGTCAGTTCAAATGTAATCTTTCCTTGCACTCTCTGCATTATAATCTTTGCATTTAATCTGTTTGATGCATTACATTGTTGATATAAGGTAATGACCATCATTTTTATGCTGTTATATACAGTGGTGAACTTTTGTTATTAGTTATCCTTTCTTGCTGCAGTTCATAAAAGAGAAATGTAACTTCTTGATTGCACTCCAGATAAGTGTGCTGGTTATTTCCTTTGTTAATTGCTGGATGTAAAAGCCATTCTGCCACCATTTCTTATTGCGAATTTGGGAACGGTAGCTATTCTACATTATATGTAACACGTAAACTCCACCTATTGCAGAAGTATATTTCTTAAATCAGATTTGATTGTTGCATAAAATGGACATATATGTGGATTGTTGCATATCCACTTTTTTCCATGTAAATATCCTTTAGTTACTTGGATTGGAAGACAAGAAGAATAATTTGAAGAAACATTCACTATTTACGAATGGTATTGCCATTCGTAAATAGAGATCCATCACAGTTATGATCAAATGTTTAAAAAAAATTCAAATATGAATGTATAATATTGACTTATGGTTGCCTGATATTTTAAATATTTCCATAGTTTGAGTTGATATCAAACCATCCTAGAACCTTTGAAAGTCATTTTGAATTTTAGCTCACTAAGTAATGACAAATTGAAATAGATTGGGTTCAAAGTTCCCTCTAAACTGTGCAAGCACCTTCCAAAAATCTAGAGCATGAAGAAAATTAACAAGCACATACTCAGACAGTCTACTAATGAAAATAGTAATAATAATTAAATTTTTACATGACTTTTAAAATGAATCAGATTAAATATGTTCATTATTTTTTTGTTGGCAGTTAATATGCACACCATTGTTGTGACTTGCAGCTGTAGGAAGTGTTGCTGGTGTACTTGCAACACTTTTGCACTATCTCCTAATGTAGCAAGTGTAGCTAACAATACATGTATTTATGAATTGTACTGTATGTTCATATATTTATATATAAACCACAGAAAACTTTGTAAAAAGAAAAACAGGAAGTGATTTTAAAATTGAATGGCTTAATGAAATGGTTGAAACAGAGACACCAAATAGTAAAAATAAATTACAAATTTCATTAAGGGAAATAATTTTATGTGACAAAGAAAACAGAGTGATTTGTATTTACTGCCGTGATAGACAGGGAAATACAGTACAAAGTCCGGACTCGTCGGTACTTTGGCAATTCTGGATTAGGGTTTTTTCCGGATTATAGATCATCAATTTAAATCTGGTAAGATGACATGCAGAAATTATACAATTAAAAATATGAAACCGTAATTTATGAAATAAAGAGCAATTATGATCTAAAGAGTATCAAAATTTTTAAAAAAATGCTAAATATTTATTTGTTTACTTTATTAAACATTTCTTTCAATGTAAGTTGTTTAAGTTGCTTCGTTTTTTGTGCTAATACTTTCTCTTTAATTCTCTCTTCTATAAACAGACATAATTTCTTGTTCAGTTACAAAGTTCCACTGTTCAAATCCTGTAATTGCTGTGTCGAGAATACCCACTAACTTGTTAATCAAAATTTTTTCATTTTCAATAACCTCTCTTCACTATCAGAAGCCCGCGTGTGTAACTGCTTTACTGACTTTACGTGCATGCCTAGCAGACGCACGCACACGTAAGTTTGAGGCTTTGAGGTCTAGATTATAGATCATTCCGGATAATGGACGTCCGGATTACGGACTTTGTACTGTAGTGATTTTGTTAGTGGCAAAAAATGGACAGATAATTGGAAACTTGATTTTTTAAAACAAGCATTGAAATAGTAAATCTTACGTGGACAGGGTAACAAAATTAAGAAGCAAAAATTTCCATCAGCTACAGGATTATTACGTTTATTAAATGAGGCTCTGGATGAATATCGAAAGAAAAAAATCCATTCATGAAGAAGTAAAAATGCTAATTGATAATGTATTACTAGCAATTAAATGAACATTTTGTAATACTCTGTCTGGGATATAAATGATCATATGGCAAAGTATATGAAAATTATGGTAAACTGCCAAACAAAAACTTATGCTTTTACGTTTTTAGAAATAATTAATTCTGTTGTAAAAACTGACATGAAAAAGAACTTGCACTTATTTTCACATTTTATTGACATTTTTATCACCAAATGTTCAACATTATACTTAAAATTTAGATGCCAACAGAATAACCAGTATAAAACTATTTTTGACAGAATAATTCAATTAAAGTCTTGTGATTCTTTTTCAATTGTTTCTGCAATAAAATAATTTTATGAAGCAAATAATACTGATTTACAAGAAATGATTATATTGACTTCTAATGAGGCAGCTGTTATCAGAGATAAGATACATGGAGTACCAGCAAACAAGGAAATGGGATAGATTTCAAGATATTGCTAGGTAATGTTTTCATTACAGAATGAACAATTTTCTGAACTTTCAAAAATAATGGATAGTAGATCATTTCTGGCATCTAGTGTTGATTGTGAACGAGGTTTCAGTTTCATAAATTTAATAAAAATAAACAAAGAAATCATTTGAAAGAAGATCACTTAGACATGTTAGCAGTGAAAACAGTATAAGTTTGGATTACATATAAACTGAATGGTTAAATTTTAAAGACAGAAAAGATTTAATATAATGTATATAAATGTAGCATTTGTTTTATATATATACATATATATATTATAAATTTGAACATTAAAACTTAGTTATATTTAGTAACTAATTTTGTTATGTTTACATGTATATTAATTTTTATGAGTAGTATAGGGTTTTTTTAAGATAATGAATGTTATTAAAATAGAATTAAAATATAAGAGTAAGAAATAAAAGCCACACAAACAGTTCTTGTAATATAAAAAGTTGTACAGATTAAAATAAAGTTGCATATTGGTAGTAAAAAATTAAAGAGAACTCTAATTATATTGTCATTACCTGAGCACACCTACAGAGGGGATATCTTTGTGGAAAGCTTTCTGATGAACATTACATACTACGCCATAATTACATTACATAAGAGGAAAACTTTGTCATCCAGTTTTTTCACTGATGCCAAGAACATATCCCATGATGAACTGACACTGCTGTTACTTTAACCACTTGGCCACTGTTTAGTCTACTAATTGAAGTGAAAGAAGTTTAAAGATTATTGATGTTTTTTAAAGTTCTTTATATGAATATCTAAAAATCAGACAGATCAGATGAGTTAATATTGCAAAAAGTATTAGCCATAAATACTGCCAAATATTATTACATAGCAAGATATGAATTGGCTCCTTATAAACATGTTCGTAAACGAGGTACATTGTGACATATTAAAAAAATCCTAAACTAGCTGTCCTTGTAGATAAGGTGTAGAAATAGATCTATTATACTTAAGGAGTTTAAGTAGAAAAGTCTACTTATGCTTGTGAGCAAGCAACTGAAATTGCAGCATGTATAATTTATCTTAGTTGAATTCTCAATTGCCGAAAAGTTTGATAGCACAGGGTTTTCATGATCTTTTCCCATACATGACGTAACTACAAATCAGTACTTTTTAAAAAGTCCTGCCTGAAAGCATCATTCGTAGGTAATCAATTTAGCTCTGTTTAATTAAATAAGCCCAATACTGATTCTGTGAATTTCAAGTGCATCACATTTCATAACGTGTTATAGATTATTAGAAGAGCTCTAAACTATGTACATTTCTTTTTTAATGTTTAACAGTTTAGAGAATAAGATATATACATATATAATTGTGCTTCCTTTTTTTTTTTTTTTTTTTTTTTTTCAATTTAATGTTATGTATTAATTAAATTATATTAAATATTACATGATGCTTTCTTTTTAGAAAAAGTATTGGACTCAGTGGCCGAACGTTAAGAAAAATGCCATTTGTAGCTTATTCTTTATTTATTAAAGTATGTATAAGTTTTATTTACTTTAAATAATTTTGAATTTCTATTCTATTCTGTCTGTATTCCAATGTACAAATATTATTATACATATATGTGGCATTTGAGAGGGAAAGAAAAGAAAAAGAAATGTATGTACACACACCAAAAAATAAATAAATAATAACTATACACTTTTATATTCATTAAAGATAATTCTTTCAAATCATAATACCGTAGTTTTTAAAATGATATTTAATCATTGTGTTATACATTCAGAAAAAAACTTGTATAATGATTTACAGTTTTAAAATTAAATGCATTAAAAACTTCCTTTTTAATAAATAACACTGAGAACTTAAACAACATAAATTGTTATGTAAATAATATAAACAGCATGGCAATGATTTTTCAAGCATTTTGTATTACTTTTTTTTCCTTCAAAATTTATTTTATCACTGACTTTTTGTCCTTTAGAGGGAATGACCATGTTTGAATCAATGTTATTATTGACTTAAAGAAGATCTTATTTTTTTATTAATTTTTATTTGCTAAAGCTTCTTGCACCACTAACAATAGTAACTGGCAGCATAACTGACTTCACCATAAAAATGGGTTGTATGAGAGCCAACATCACGGGGACACAATGAGGTAACATATCAAACCTTGCATCTTGTTCAGCACCACATTTTACACAAAAAATTATGCAAAACACTGATAACACAGGGTACATTGCGATTTTCAAATATCAATATTCACACTTCTTGTGCTATTCCATTGGATCTTTAGGTGTTAAGTCTGCTGCAAGAAACTGCAAGCAATTACATTACTGCCCAATTTCAATTAGTGAATTTTGGAAAGCCTGAAGTTGTAAAAGCTACACTTCATATTATAAAGAATTACTGATGTCAGCAAATTGCAGTCTAAGCAGCTCAGTACTAGTATAAACAAGTGTAAATTATTTCAGTGCATTAGTTACGATCATAAATTTTAATGTTAACAAACAGAGATACAGTGCTGTAAAAGTTGAATTCTTTTGAGAATAAATTAATGCTATTAATTCTTCTCTTAATTCATCTGGATTATTAATAAAACAAAATTCCTTTGATACTTATTGATGCTTCTTCATAAGTTGAGGACAAATAAATTCTTTTATCAATACATACATTCAATTTGCAAGGCAACAAAATATATAGCGTGTTTTTATAGGAAAAAAATACTATCAAATTTACCACTCTAAAGTTTTTAAAAATTGAAATTTTCTTTGTTTACATTTAAAAATGTAAACAAAGGAGACAGTTATTTGCTTCTTGAAGAGCTTATTTATTTGAAATTTAACAATTGTAAAAAGTGAAATACATCTTTATCTCTATGTATAACATATATGTATGTATGTGGGATGTATTTTCTTAAATATTTATACTAGATATTTGCAATCAAAAATTTTTGATAATCAACACTTTGCTAAATTTAAAGTTAACAAGTGTAAAAACTGAAATATATCTTCATTGATATAAATTGCATATATGCCTATATTTGGGATTTATTTTCTAAAATGTAAATATACATCTGCAGTCAAAGAGTTTTGATAATCCAAACGTTGGATTTCAAATAATTAAGCTCTTAGCACTTCAAGAAGCAAATAATGGTCTCCTTCCTCCTGCAGAGTACAGTACAAAGTCCTTAATTTGGACATCCATAATCCAGAATGATCTATAATCCGGACCTCAAAGCTATAAACTTTCTGCGCATGCGTAAACACATTAATGCATTTACACATGTGCATATGCGTTTACACATGCACGTTTAAAGTATAACGGACAGTATAAGCTAGGCTAAAATTATCTAATTCAGTTAATGTTGCAGATTGCGTTGTTCCTTAATCTTCTAATTGGATCCGGCTTATTATTTTTTGCAGACTGTTAGAGCAATTTTATAAAAAGTAAGCTTGAACTTCCAATTACGTCAAAAAGAGTTTTCGATTCTGGAGCTGCCAAAGGATCTACAAAGCGAAAGCATGTTTTGATGTTTATCAAACAAAAAGTGGAATTGCTGCTAAAAATGGTTAAAGGCTTATCCTTTGTTTCTCTAACCATTCCGAAATCTGTTTATCAATTTCACGCTGCTCTGTGAAGGGGGAGGGGCATTGCGGCACACAATGAACTGGAAGTTGATCTCTCAGCATTCTCATCTTCAGGGCAGATGTTTTTATTTTATTCAGCGTATAATTCCGTACTAAATGTAGTATTTCATCTCGATGTACTCCATCTTTGATATGATTTAAATCAAATTCCTCGTCATTATAAATATCACGAATACACATCAAATAGTTTTCTGGTTGCAATTTTCTAATTTCGACTATGCATAATCTATGCTTTACGCATGCGCGCATTGAAAGAAATGTTTAATAAAGTAATCAAATAAATATTAAGCTTTTTTTTTGGTTTGTTTGTGTGTGTGTGTGTGTGTAAATTTTGATAACCTTTAGATCATAATTGCTCTTTATTTCATAAATTACAGTTTCATATTTTTAATTTTATAACTTCTGCATGCTATCTTACCAGATTTAAATTGATGATCTATAATCCGGAAAAATACCTAATCTGGAATCGCTGAAGTCCCAACGAGTGCGGATTAAAAACTTTGTACTGTATATTCTTCCAAATTACATTTTCATCTAAAATTAGTACTGATGTTGTAGTTAGTAGTGATGATGACTATGTAGTGAATGTTTGTCATTGAGTAATATTTCATGAATTAAAATTTTAAAACCAAATGATTATTAATTTAGTTAAAAATCATTCAGAGGCTTATTTTTATGAATTAAATTTTGTAATATTATATAATTAACACTTCCTTTTCTTCTTAGACACCCTTGGTTAGTCTTGATGTGTTTTTGGATGCTCTTTCGAAAGCAGTAGACCGATATTGGGAAGATATCAAATTTTTAAAACTCGTGCATGATAGCTATCATGTAACATTTTAAATTTTTAGACAAATATTATATATATATATATTACTTGATTTGTAATTTATGTGTATATACTTATGTAAAGTATTAAAAAAGAAATTTTCTGGGGTTTCTGAACTTAGCCATTAACTTCTAACTGAAGCAGTACACTTCATAAAAATACTAGACCTTATAACATTTAACTCAATTAATGTCTAAATTTGACTGTTGTTACAAAAGAACATTTTAATTCAATTCAAAGTCCATTTTTTCCTAGTTATGTACAAAGTATTTTTTCAACTAGATATTTTTGTATTGCTCTGTTTGGTATATTCCAGTAACTATGTTAACACAATAATCTTAATTTTTTTTCCTAATGAATTGTTTCATGTGGCAAGTTCCTCTGAATCGTTCTATTAAATAATATAAAGCAATATTTAACATTGTAAAGACATAATAATTATCACTCTACAATTGTTAATTGATAAAAAGTAGCTAGTAATTCCTATATATATATATATACGAAAGTAGCAAGACAACAACATGAATAAGAGAGACCTTAGTGGTCAAGAATTTTGTGCATTGAGCTGCAAATTTTTTAAAATTTTTAAAAGAGGAATGTTTAAAAGCTTATGCTAAAAAATACATTTGACTCTATAGTTCCTTACCAAAAATGTAAAATCATGCAACTACTAGAAACAATAAAAAAGTAGTAAAAGTTATCTCGTAAAAATTAAATGTTAAAATTACAAATCGAGGTAACTTCAAAACCATATATATATATTAATGCTGAATGAAGCTGTGCTTTGACATTAGAAGTATACAACATTATTTAAGTTCTTCTACAAGAACTTTTATATTATTTATTTTAAGTTCAGAAATCTGCCTATAAATATATATACATTTGCTTAAAAATGAATGTGTGTTTGCCTTTATTTAAATGCATTATATTCCATGAAAAAAGCCCTGGCCATGTATTTAAAAGCTATGTATTTCTGCCTATTCTCCATTGTCACTTTACAATTGTATAACAGCAGATTATTAAAATAACGTAAGATCTCATTTACTCCTGTATGGATATGTAAATTAATATACTGATTTTCGGGTAGCTGCAACAGTATTTCTTTTAATTCTTGCAATCTGATAAGACTGCCTTAATATCTGAGTGGAAACTAAATTAGCAATGATATTTTAAATCTAAAATTTTAGGATGTTTTAAAAAGAGTTACCACTCATTTCCAAGAATTTTTTTTATTTGATTTATGCATTCAAATACAAAAATAGCCAGCTATCATTGAAGAATAAATTTTTAAGTGATAAAATTTTTATTACTAGGTTACGTTAAATGTTTTAGTTGTGACCAAAAGGCATGATCTACAGAATGTTTAAAAACCATATAATGAAAAGTGAGTGGTGCTGCAAAATTTTATTGATCGTTTGGTTGCTAAGAAAATGATTATGAAAATGTATGGATAGCAATATTAGAGAAAAATTGTGCAGAGGAGACATAAAATGCATTGCATCTAAATTTTTATAATTTAAGTTAAATGTTAGCAAAATTCCTTGTTATTTTTTTATTGGTCAACAGCTAAAACCATCAGACAATTATCTGAAATGTAGATTTCGAGCTGCTGTTTCCAAATATGAAATGATCTATCAGATCACACTTTTTAGATGAAGTATATTTCTGTTAAAGTTATTTTTAATGATGTGCTGTGTTTATGTTACAAAATAGAGCTTACTGATGTTCTTATATTTAAGTTCATATTGATATATGTATAATTACATTTACTTTGTGTTTTTAATAAATTTAGGATTAATTTTTTGTAATTGTTGTTTTTATTACAGTTCTTAATAAAAAAATTTTATTGGTGCTTGATCTAGTTGATTTCAAAATGTCTGAAAGTACAGTGAATCAAAATAAGAAAAGGTCCCCATTACTTTAGGTCTCATTCTGTTCTGTTAATCAATGAAATTCTACTTTTCTTTTCATGTCTCCAAAGTACAATTTAAGATATGTATTAGATTTATATATACCACTGTTCTAACATACATATTTGGAATCAAAATTGGACTTTTCTGAAAAGGCATGCTGTTCCCCCACCCGCACACACAGTTCTATCTAAACTTCAGATTGTGCCAAAAACCAAGTTTTTTAAAAATCAATAACCAATACTTTTTTAAAAAATTAGCAAAACTAAGTTAATTGAATTTGGTATGTATTTAATATTGCTTTTTTAATTAAACATATTTAATTTTTTGAAAAAAATTGAATTATAATCTGTCAAAATTTGAACACATCTCAAAGTAAATATTTTTAGGCATATTTCTAACAAATTAGAATTTTTTTGGAGATGAATATAAATTTAAATATTAAAAATTTGTGAAACTGTTTTCAAACTTGGTGTAAGACTAAAAGCAAAAATGATGCCAAATATGAGTGCCATTTTATTTTGCCATGGTTTAGTGTAATCTAATTTTGATTTATTTTTCATTCTGCTTTATGCTGAACAAAATTCAACATACTAAAATCAATTTTTGTGTAATACTTTTATTCTAAAATATCAGTTGAATAATTTTTGGAAAATTTTAAAAAATGTTATTTAAGAATGATTATAACTGGTTAAATCTGAAAGTAGAAATTTTGTTTACAGCTGTTATCTTTATTTTATCTACAGATATTTTAAAATGGCAAGATTTTTATGCTCTGTTTTCTTCTAAATGTATTTAATTATTGTCTTTTTGCAGTTGAATTGTACTTATTAAAAAAAAAAGGTAAGATTACATACTAAACGATAAAAGTAAGCTGCTATTAAAGTTACATAAAATTCATAATGATTTTCAGAAAGAAAGGGTTATTGTTTTTAATTATCGTTTTTAAATATGTAAAATCCAGAGGAATGCTTTACTTATTAGACTTCCTTCCTCCCCCACCCCTCTTTTTTTCCTTCAAGATCTTTGTTATTTCATTCAACAAATTTTGGATATTTAATGTTGCATTGAAAAATTGAAATCAAATTACCTTTTACCTTTATGATAAAAATTCATGATTGAGTCCTACGAATGCATAAATAAAATTATAATAATATTATTTTAAAGTATAATGTGTTTAATGTTTTCACTGAAAATAAGGAAGGCAGCAAGACACAAATAATCATTCTCCCTCTTGGTATATAAAAAAGTCATTAACCCCTTTTGATAGTCATCGAGTTCAGTGTGCATTCCAATTATGTGCCACAGTGGGAGCAGAAGAACACAGTCTGCAATGGAAATTTAAGACTGACAGATATCGTGTGTATTTGAGGGAGAGAGAAAAGCTCAATCTCGCAACTGACAAAGGATAAGGAAAACATGATGCTTATGTTCTTGGGATATATACCTTGCAAGTTAAATGCTAATTTTTCTATTTCATGAACGAATTAAGACTAGAAATTATGCTAAATCTAGAAGAACTATGAGAATTATTTTTTAGTTTTCTTTTTTTATACTGTATCTTGGTCTAGAGAATAAGTTCCAAAGTATTTTTATTTTTGTGCTATTAATTTGAGAAAGTAATTTTCAAAAATATGGAGTGCAGTTATTAACACCTCAAAAAAGTATTAATAATAAATAAAAGTATATTATGATAAAGAAATTGTAATAAAATGAGCGTAACAAAATGAAAATGTTTGGTAAATAACAAATGAAAATATAACTGCTTGAAACACGTTTTTGAACTGTTATTTGTTTTCCTTTTAACATTAAAATTGTGTGAATTATAAATGCACACCAGAAATACAAAAGCATGGTGTTTGCAGTCAATATGCAAAATTCTTTTAGAAAGAGTATTATAACAAAACTGTTGTATTTATTACTTTTTTTCTACTGAGCAGCTAAAACAAAATTTTACAAATTTCAATAATAATAAGTTTTTTTTTTTTTTTTTTTTTTTTTTTTTTTTTTTGTGTGTGTGAAAATCTACTTAATACTGTTCTAGATTATTTGTACACTTAATGGGAGCAAAATAGAGCACAAAAAATTAAACTTACTCTGCTATTCGTGTTATTTTGGGCTTGAAAATCGGTGTGTTTTATTTCAAACTTAATCTTTTCCTGGCATGTTTTATAGCAAAGAGAAACATTACATTTTTAAAATTAACTTTAGTATATAGTCTGATAATTATTCTTTTATAATATTTAATAAAATATTTTCTAACTCATAAAACTTGCATAATAACCTTGCTATAATACATAATAACTTTGTGTTGTACCTTTTTGTGGAATTATATGTTCTTGGTGGATAAAATGATTTTTCCTCATGGCAAATCAAAATATCCATCAAGAAGTGAGACTATGCAAGAGCATGTTTTTATCATATTTTAATTTTCCACAATCACATAAAAGCTTTCTTATTTTCTGCTGCATGTATGTCTAAATCAAGGCTTCTTAAACTTTTTTCATTCATGACCCCTTTATATTACTGAGGTTTTTTTGGGGGAGGATGCCAGGACCCCATAATATTTACGAAAATTTTGTGGTACCCCATAAGTAATAAGTTAAAGAAATATCAAAATTGCTAAAATTTTTGGCGAGCCCCTACTGCAGGTCGCGACACACAGTTTAAGAAACTCTGGTTAATAAATCAACATTATTGGCCCCAAACAAGTAAGGGCAGTTTAAAAATACTTTTAAGCTATTCATAAAAAGTACAAAAGAGCTGGTATTTATGTCACCAGTCTTGAATATGAATATTGATGATACAATTGATATTAGTGAAAATTTGTAGCTTTATTGGCTGGGGCCTAATTACTACCCAGGGCTACAAGACTGCAAGCTTTATGAGCCCTTAAAGGATCTTGCAATTATATTCCTGTTTTTTTCTCATCAAAGGTATGGTGTAGTATATTTAACTATGGCAAAGCACTCGAGGGCTATCTCAGGGAAGGGATGCCTTCATGTAGGGCTTTCTAAGGGAAACTATCTCGTATACACTTTACACATGGGGAAAACTATGAAAATGCCCATGCATACAGCCTGTTGGCCCTAAACCGAAATCTTCAGTATTCAGTTACTCTACTGCTTACGCATACTGTTGCCTTGGCCAGAAATATAAATAGCAATCTTCGTAAAGCCATATTTTTTAAAACAGTTTTTAACTAGTTTTAAGAGATTAACCCCCTCCAATGACTATAATGTACATGAACTCTGGCAAAGATATAGACTTTCTCCTTTGAAGAATTCTGTGCTTCATTTTCAGAATGTCTTTTCTATAATTACATTCGAAAGCTTTTATATAATCTTGATATAAAGGCTGAATGTTAGAAGTTGTATTGACAGGAAGAGACACTAATGCTGAATGGAGTATGAAAAGCTTTGATGGGTATTAAATCGGACTGTCATACTCTGAAGAATCAGTCTTTTGCCAATCTGAGTTTTATAATAGGCGGAGATAAGTTTAATAAAGTTCCATTTTTCTGTGGCTTTAAATTCAGTTTAAAAATTTCAGAATTCAACTGTGGCTATAAATTCAATTAAAAAAAACTCTTAGAACTACTATTATCCTAAAGGTAGCAAATAATCATCTAAAACATCAATGCAATCAAATAAATTTAAATATTTACAGAGTTGCCAACTCTCTCGATTTCTGACCATACTCCCGCCAACCCGATTTTTAACTTATTTTTCCCGACTTTCTGTTATTCTTAAAATTTCCATATACCTTGGCTTAATACTTTGTTATTTGCCCCAAAAAAGATGATTTGAGGCGCATGTTCTTCTCTAGATGCACATAAAAAAAAACCATTTCTTTTCTCTAGATGGGTATAAAAAGTCGTTTTATCCTGGGATATGGTTGCGTTTCTGTTTTGTGTATGAGAATTCGAAAACGTCGTGTTCCAGTTCTCCAATGAGAATCAAGTGCCGCTGTGGGTCATCTTGCATATATTAACCAATAAGCAGAAAGGAAGATCGAAGTTGTTTATTTCGTTCGTCTCGCCAGTGAGCAGCGTTAAGTTTCACGTGATTCTCAGAAACAGTTTAAGAAACTGCGATCTTTTGTCTTAGTTATGTCCACGAAAACTGTAAAATACTCATGTACTTTAAAAAATCGTACACAGATGACTTTGCTGCTCTTATTTCGTCAACAAAACAAACGATACACATATTGCAATGTATATCGTTTGCACATATACACTGGTTATCTTTAGAGAATTATTTAGCTGGAATCGCCGACCACTTCTTACATTTTTTAAGAAGTAATTGCTTCAAGCGTTAAGATAAAAGGCTCTGTTGAGAGTTATAAAATATCTAAAGTAAATGGAGATGTAATTATTGCATCCGTTGTTAAAAATAGATGTGAGAAATACGAAGTTATTTCTGCACCTGCGAGCAATTTAATTGGCAATTCTTAAAATAATACCACAAAATATAAACGTAAAGCTCTCATAAAATAAAAAAATATCTCTTGACAAGGGGCACATTTTCCGATTATTGTACGTTTATTTTGTGAAGAGCGAATAATTTTGTTTTGGGTCTTGAAAAAACTTTTTGCTTTTTTGTACGCTCCATTTTGCCATCATTCAATGTTCTTAACACAATTCCATAGTGTAGAATTACTTTAATTCATGTTTTGCAATTAATAATTAATGATCTAGTTAAAGTATTTAATGATAAGGGAAACTGATTTTAATCTGTTTTTATTATTAGAAGAAAAGTAATAAAACTACATATTTATTTATTAGTCCAAAGCAGCTTTGTCCCTGAAGGACTATTGTTTTCGCGAAATTAAATAATGAAAAATCTGCATAAATGTATGTATATTTCTCGCATTGTGATAAAACAACGGTACATAGAGCCATCGAATTTTGAATGACGTAATCCTACTGCGAATATGGACATCTAGAAGCCCAAATTTGAAAT